TCTTCAAAACAAACTTCACCGAAATCAGACTTTTCAAAATAAATTTGGAAATCTATAACCAAACGCTAGCTAAAGTTTAGCAAATTTTTCAAATTTACGTTGAAAAACACATCAAATTTTAAATATTTTCATCCCTGCCAAACAAAATGGAAAGTAGACTTACGTTTCGAGATAGAAGTAGTAAACTTAGATTATTACTCGCAGAAACAATAGATGACTCATCGACACCATAACTAGACGGTGAGGCGTGATGGTTAATAGATGTGATTTGACTCATGCTCAGCGAATTGGGCCTACTCATTTAAGCACGTCAAAATAGCACGTGATAGTCGGTGTTCGAACTTGTAATTAAGAAATAATTGTCGTTTGTAAAGTAATTAAAAATAATTAAAATTTAATATATATATATATATATATATATATATATATAATCTGAATAAAAGTAACCTTAGCTGAAATACGAGGAAAATTTAGCATAATATGTCGAATTATGAAACTCGTACATATAAAACTGTGATGGAGTTCAAACTTAAAAAGACACTTTGTATGTAAATTCTAGCATATTGTGTTGGAGTTCACATACATGATATTTTAAACTCCAATATATTATGCTGAAATTTCATACGTAAAAAGTTTAAACTTCAATATTTTTTGCTGAATTTTCTTTTTTGGATTTAAACTCATGGTATGTTTGTTCAGATTTTATTACATCATGAAAATTGGCTATGTTTTGATTAATTAAAATAGTAGCTAATTTTTAATAAGCAGTCGTAAATCAGACTATGTTTTAAATTTCACCCTTTAAACACCCTGCATTTTGACAAATTCTTTCAGAACAATAACAGGTTTAAACGACGGCCCACTTTGAACACACTTATCTTACACTAATTCTGTTTAGAAAGTAATTTGATATCTAAATTTATGAGGAAAATGAATTACTAGTTGATATCTTAAGTATCTCTCTTTTTAATGTTTATTTGTGGGAAGTAGAAAGTACAAGACAACAATATGCTGCAAACGAAAACCGTACCAATCACCAAATTTAAAACGTACTGCCAAACGTTAAACTTTGCCAATGAAAATTTGCACGCAGCAGACAACTGGAGACTGAAAAAAAACGAAAAAAAAGACCGACGACATCTCGACTAGTTTGGCTACAAATTCAAACTACATTAAAATTGGCATTAGAAAAAAAAACTAGGAGTATATCTATTGGTAGACTTCTGTTTAATTAAAATAAAAAGACAAAAACGATACTATCAACGTAGATTAGTTAGGATAGAAAGAATATTTTACTAATGTAGTTGCTCTTCTAAAATCCTCTGATAGTTACTCTAGTCTCTAGAGAGTTTAATCAATATTCTCACCCTTTTTTCCTACATAAACTAGTGTAGCAAGAACTACGATATATGTTGGAACTCATCCTTATTTATGCTTAAGAATAAATGAAAATATTCAATTTAATCGAACAACAATATCATATTAATGTAGTGACATCTACCATAGAAAAGCAATAAGGAGCATGACTAATATGCATAGTTTGATGGTTAGTATTTCTTCGCATTCAATTAGAGAACTTGGATTCGGTTATTAGAATAACAAACTCCTTATTAGAAAGCGCTGATTTTTTAATATTCAATTAAAATTAAAATTAATCGAATCACTAAGAATATCACTAAAAATGTGCTTTGGTCAAAGGGAACAGAGAAAATGATGTTTTTGAAGAATTTCTGAATTTACAAGTGGTGGAAAATCATTGTGCAACTTGTAAAAGTCCTTTGAATGAACACTGAAAAGAGTCTCTTCCCAAATTGATTGAAAAACAAAAAGCTCTTGATTATTTTTCAATGACTTGAGGGGACTATTTTAGATATATCTCAATTGTCTTTTATAAGAAAATATTTACAGCTCATTGTTCTTATCCACTTTTCTCCTAAATGAAATGGCCCCAATTGTTTACCTTATATCTATAATTGGAGGGCCTCCAATTTGGCTCTAGCACATATTTTAAGTATTTGGCGTTAGCATTTATATCTTCCCCCGAAAAAGGTCACAGATATTTGTTCTGATCCACTTCAATGTGCTTGTTTTGTAAAATTTTACAGTAAGACTGTAAGGTAAAATTATTAGCTCGTCCAATAGTTTGTTTGCCCAAACTTTTGAAAAATATATGCTTTTGAAAAGTATTTAAAACTTACTGATGTAGAGAAAAAACTGAAGAAAAGGTAAATTCTCTTTATAGGTAGATAAAAGCTGCTTTTAATTAAATTATTTGGTGTCCTCTAAACTATTACATTTGATTGTTTTTATTTAAATTATCTAGTGTTCCCAAATTCCTCCGGAATTACATTTTTCTTTTAACTAAAATTCCTCATTGATTAGCTGGTAAAATGTGTGAGATAACGCATAAAAAAGCATTTAATGAATGAAAATATTCATCATAATGGCCCCACCTGACTATGTGTAAGAACTATTTAAGCTACCCTTTCTTCTTCATTTAATTTTTCACCCTGCATCTTCACTTCTCAATCTAATTTCACTTCGAAAAATTTCTCCCTCTTTTGTTTCGCGTGAAATTATTTATTATCTTTCTTATTGTAATCTTCTTTCATTTCTTATTGTTGAAAGAATACTCATTTAAATTCTCTTATTAAATATAATGCATTTTAGAAACTAAAGTTGCTGCCTGTTCGATGTCTTGTTTGTGGAATCTTGTTTTGTGTAATTTTGTTCTATTTTTAAGAAATACAACTCTATATGCTTTTATTTAGTTTTTCTGCTTCAAATTGAATGTAAATAAGTACTTATTCAATTGTAATCTAAGTATAAAGCACAACCACATTTAAAGCTAGAAAGTATTAGATCCTACTTTAACCAAAATGCCCAAAATTAAACCCTAGCTTAGGGGAATATTATTCCCATGAATTTTAGGAATACCAAATATTTTAGAAGAAACTAACAAAACAGTAATAGTTTAAGTAATTTTAGGGTATTAAATAGCTACGTGTAGTATCACATAACATATTTTTTATTAATTTTGAGTGTGTATTAGACACACTTCTAACAATTAAATGAGGGTTTAATTAAAAAGAAATATAGTTCAGAGAGAATCTTGAGGATACCAAATAATTTAGTAGAAAACTTGACAAAAGTATGATAGTTTAGGATGATTTTAGATATTCACTCTTTGTTTAAAATATTGACACACTCATCAGACAAATCTATTAATATCATTACCAATAACTGTTATTTGACTAAGTTATATTTTATCTCTCTTAATTATTTTTTTATGAACATTGGTGAATTTTTTTAGAAAATTATGTACATCATTTGTTGAAGCAAGTGTAAACTTTAGAAATCAAATGAAAGCATTCTTGACTTCGTAAAACGACATATTTTTTACTATTGTTTGGCCAAAACAAATAAAAAGAATCGTGGGGGAGTAGTAACTGTGGGTGGACATAGTTTGGATAAATCCGAAATTTAAATCTATTTTTTCTTTTTTGAGATTTTGATTTGGATTTTCAGATTACGGATTAAATTTTGAATGTAAATTTTAAATTTTTTGAATTTCTGATTGGATATTGGATTTGGTAATTGGAATTTTTGGATACCCGAAAATCTAAATTTTTTATACCTATTTGGTGCTATCCATTAAGACATTAGTTCATTATCCATATGTCCACTACTAATAGACATTAGCTCATATATTTAGTATTAATAATAAGTAACTATCAGAGTACTTTTTATTTAGACATAGTTTTACTATTGTCAATTTTAATCCGTCTTGTTAATGTTTTTGTTGCATTTCCTTGATAATGGTTTTATTACTTACATAAATACTTTATTTGGATGATTGTGATGAGAATAAGAAACTATTAAGGGAATCTAACATGAATACTTCATTTGAATGTTCATTTTTACAGGAAGAAGAAATAACCCAACTTATAGGCTCAAAATTAAAAATTCAATAAATCTAAATCAATTAATCCAAAATCGAACTTAAAGAATCTGATCCAATCGGAGCTTATTTGAATTGAATTCGAATTATCATTTTTTCAATCCAAAAATTGATGGTCAAACCAAAATTATTATATCCAATTTGAACTGTCAAAACGCCAACCCCTAGTACTAACATCAGTTACAATCCAGAAATATATTTTCGAAAATTTCATTGGAGAGAAAGTACCTATCAAAATAAATAAGATTCAAAAGTTTAGCCACTTATCCAAAGAAGATACTCCTTTTGTTTCAATTTATATTAACATATTTCTTTTTTAGTCCGTCCCAAAAAGAATAACTTCTTTTCTTATTTGAAAATAATTTATATTTATACAATGATCTATAGCCACACCAAATATATGTAACTCATTTTATACCACAAATTCAAAAGTCATTTCTTTTTTCTTAAATTTCGTATCCAATCAAATGGGTTCACCGTCCCAAAAAGAATAACTTCTTTTCTTATTTGAAAATAATTTATATTTATACAATGATCTATAGCCATACCAAATATATGTAACTCATTTTATACCACAAATTCAAAAGTCATTTCTTTTTTCTTAAATTTCGTATCCAATCAAATGGGTTCACCGTCCCAAAAAGAATAACTTCTTTTCTTATTTGAAAATAATTTATATTTATACAATGATCTATAGCCATACCAAATATATGTAACTCATTTTATACCACAAATTCAAAAGTCATTTCTTTTTTCTTAAATTTCGTATCCAATCAAATGGGTTCACCGTCCCAAAAAGAATAACTTCTTTTCTTATTTGAAAATAATTTATATTTATACAATGATCTATAGCCATACCAAATATATGTAACTCATTTTATATCACAAATTCAAAAATTATTTTTTTTTTCTTAAATTTCGTATCCAATCAAATAGGTTCACATGAATTAAAACGAACGTATCAGCTAACGTAAAATAACCGGCGAGCAAAGGTACGAAAAGATGCCACTTACAACTAACAAAATAAAAAGACAGTTTCTAAATGAACAGCTTGGCAATCAACCTTTCTTAAGTGGAAAAAGGAAGTAAAAAGAGTTACATACAGTGGAAAATTGTACTACTACAGTTACTTTTGCTCCAATATTTTTTACTATAGTATACTCCAAACATAGTTTTACATAAAAAGACTACTATGCTTAAAAGCAGCAGAGCTACTATACTTTTGCTTCATCTCAAGTGGAAAAAGTAAGAAAAAGAAAAAGGGAAAATTACATAGTTACATACTTACAAATTATAATAACATTATACAAAATTTCAGATCTCCACACAGCATCCAGATTGCACAAATCCTGAGAATTCCTCAGGAACATCAATTTTCACCAATTTACTATTTTGCCCTTCTTTCTTGCTGTTTTCCACAAAGAAAAATCCATGCGGGGCTCCTTGATAGGCCGACCCGGTTACCAAGGTCCGATCACCAAGGTCAACACCACAAGCTCCGACTTTAACATTCGGGTCGGATTCAGACCAGCAAGTCAAATTTCCATTTTTGCCCACCCCTACACATGCTCTAGGGCATTGACTCGACCCCCAAGCATTCTCAACTTGCCTCCACTCACCTGTACTGAGTTCATATAACTCGGCGCTACTCTTGAACCGCCCTTGACTTTCGGTATCATACCCGCTTACGACCCAGAAATCCGACCCGATTATCACACCTTCGCACTCGTCACGCTCCTCGCTCATCCGAGGCAACTCAGTCCACTCGTCACTAGCAATATCAAATACCCACGCTGAACTCAGCGCGTTCTTGCTCTCATCGTGGCCGCCGGCGATGAAAACCCGTCCTCCGGCAGCTCCCATAGCGAAAAACGACCGACTCTCCGGCATATCCTTGCACTGAGTCCACCTCCGAGTCATGAAATCGTACACGAAAACATCCTTAATCGGATCCCAGCTCGCCGGGTTCCACCCGCCCATGACAATAAGTTTCCCTTCCGTAGTCGCAATTTGGCAGAACATCGGTAACCCATCAGGATATTTTGGAATCGGGTCAACCCGATCCCAAATACCAGTTACCGAGTCGAACACCGTGATAGCGTACCTCGGTTGTCCTACAGGTTTAGACTCGGATTGAACAGGAAGTGCTTGTACTAAACAAGCAGCTTTACGAGTAAAACCGGTTTGTTTACGATGGTAATAAAATTCCTTGCTTTGAAGAAGCCTACACCATCTTCTACAAACACGAGAAGCAACTCGGTGAGTTGAATAGTGTAATCGGCTCAAGCACTCAAGGGCAATTTCCTCGGGTAAACCCGGGAGTAACTCAGTAGTGAACTCATCTTGGGTCATTTTTTTGTTGTTGTTTATTTCTAGAAGGTTTTTTTGCTTGCAATGAAATAGAAGAAAATAAAGTGATGCAGAAATTTGGGGATTTTACGTGGATATTTATAGTAAGAGAAGAGGTCTGTGAGAAAATGACGGTCACATGATATTTTAGGGTTGAGGCACTAAGATTATTCCACGTGGCATCCGTTTATTAGGCAAGTTGATACGTCAAAATTGCACGGGAGGCGTCGAACTCATTTAATCTATACTTACTTTTTAAAAATGTTTTAACTTGTACCCGTTTTTTAAACAACTTCACGCATCTTTCTTTTCCTCCTTCGTTTTCTTCTTCTCCTTCTTCTTTTCTTCTTTTTTTTTAGGTGACAATAATTTTATATGATTGTTGTAAATTTTAATATAGTTTATAATATTTTACAATGATGAGTTGTTATGATACTTTATTTTTTGCTATTGATTAGGGTTTCTTCTTCTTCTTTTTTTTCTTAATTGCAAAATAAATTCATTAGATTTATTATTGTTTTGGCAAATTGATGATTGAGGTTTGTTTCCGATGATATTTGGAGGTTATGTTTCAAATTTGAGCTCATTTGGAGTAGATTTATGTATTAAATCGTAAATTTGATTGTTATAATTCGAAGAACAAATTTTTATTTCTGGGCAATTTGCACTTAAGGACTATTGTTATAAAAACGTTAGTTGCACTTCAGACCTTTTGGCCTTAAGTACATCTGAAGTGCAAAATGTTACTTCAGACTTATTGGCCTTAAGTGCATCTGAAGTGCACTTTTTCACTTCAGACTTATTAGTCATTAGTTGCACTTCAGAGCTGAAGTTTGTGTGCAGACATAGAACTTCAGCTCTAAGAATGCCAAAGTTCAGCAAATATAAAACAAAAACTTCAGCTCCTAGAATGCTGAAGTTCAGCAAATACAAAACAAACTTCAGCCCTAGAATGTTAAAGTTCAGCAATTACAAAACAAACTCCAGCTCCTAGAATGGTGAAGTTCAGCAATTACAAAACAAAAACTTCAGCCAAAACATGTTGTAGTTTTATTGAGCTGAAGTTTGCCATTGCACTATGAACAGAAATTTGCGTGATTGCCTTTGCAAGTCAGGCCAAACTTCAGGCCAAAATATTTGAAGTTTTGCTAGACTTCAGGCAAAACATTCTGAAGTTCAAACTTTAGACTTAATGTTTTGCTATTTTAGGCCCGTATGTCTGAAGTTATCCGAAAAATGGGTACGCTTGAAATTTTGTTTTTGCAAAGCGTGTATAATTTAAAAGTTGACCCAAAAACTGGGTATATATACAAATGCCCCCAGTTGATACCGACGTAAATTATAAAATATGGGCTTCCTCGTAATAAAATGAGACCATATTTATTATTTACTTTTTCTAGTTATATATATAATTTACATATTGATTATACGTAATTATACAAATATAATATATAAATTATACATATATTATATCTTCACCTGCTATTTTTGATTTAAGCAGTTGAATGAAAGACTATTTGGGTTAATTCTTCTAATAATAAATCGAAGAGATTCTTTTTCTTTTTCGTTTTTTAAATAGATGGGATCTTGAATTTTCATTACTTTGTCCTTTTTTGTTTTATGACTAAAGTGAAAATAAAGTATTGATTCATTTTTACTTTTCCTTTTTCTCCATTAACAAAAGTAAGCATACAATGAATATTGTTTAGTGCAAGTTAAAAAATTAATACACCCAATAAATTAAATTATGTTACCACGTAACATAAGATCAGCGCTTTAAAAGAGGAACTTAGAGGGTGTTTGGGTCAGATTTTAAACTAATCAAACTAGATTATACACATTTGGGGTAAGAAAAGGGTTGATAGACACATCATTGACTTATTATCACCTTTAATATTTTTTTCAAAATATGTAATTACTTATGTATAAAATAAATTTTAGTACTTAAAAATATTTTCAGCATTTGATATTTATCAGCATCTTTTAATCAGCTAAATCAAATGGACTCTTACTGGTGCATTTCAAAATAAAATGGTATCAAAATGTCCTCTACGACAATTTCGCTAATATTTTTCATTCGGTTATTTTGATTTCAATTTACGGACAAACTGAAATAAGTTTGGTTCTCTTGGTTCAATTTTTGATACTAAATTTTGGATTTAAAAAAATTACTTACTCTTTCTTCTTCTTCTTCTTCTTCTTTTGCTTTGTAAAAGCAAATTTGACCAATCAATTGACAAGAAACAAATACACTACACGCGATCTCTTAGCAAAGCTATTTTGCAAAATGAAACTTTTCGGGAATTAAAAATTCTTTATATATTGATAACCCCCCCCCCCCCCCCCACCAAAACCCAAACCACTGTTTGCTATGCACTTTGAATTTAAGAAAATACCACAAAAATAAAATCTCTAAAATACAATATTGATAGATTCTTTTTAATTCCTTGTTCAACACCGAAAATTCCTATATGGTGTATCAATAATTATGATTTAAGAGTATCTTATTTCAACTTGTCAACAATTATAATTTCATAGATCCAAGGTTTTCGCATATAATTAGCCGTCTATGAAAGTTTCTTGAAGATCTGAAAAATGCCGGCACTGAAGGAACACAGTCAACGTGATAATCCAACCCAGCGCTGACGACGTCGTATAAAGAGGTTTGAAGCAGCTTCATCGGAGATGTGTTATGTAATATAATTTATTTTTTAGCATATTCAGAAAAATATATTTTATAATTTAACTTTAAACTTTTAATTTTATACCAATATTAATAACTTATTTCTGATCACAAATTTTCAATATCTTTGTTTGGTCCGGTCAATCTTTTGGTTAAAGACGAATAATGCGTACCCCTAAATTGACGACAAAAGTAACGGTATTAATTAGGCAAATGGTTCACCACTTCACCTTTCTTGCATTGCTTTTAAAATAATGTGTAGAATAACAACTAATACATTATTTTTTTAAAATGACTTACAGGTGATATAAATCAAATCGTTTGATGTCATAATTGTGCTTTATTCAAATCTGCTGATTTTCCGACGTAGATGATTGAATTAAGCAATAGAATTGCATCATCTGGCTAAGAAATTCTCTTTATATATATATAGATATATATAGAGTCAAACATCTTTATAACAACCTCGTTTGTTCCAATTTTGTTTGATTGTTATAGCAAAGTGTTGTTATGGAAAACATATATTATAATATAATATGAAAATGGGTTCCATAGAAACTTGATTTTTTATAGTAAATGAATGTTATATAACGATACTGTTATAGAGAGGTCTGAATATTAACATACAGAGGAAATTCTCTTTTAGTATACGTTCAATAATGTATGTCTTGATTTTTCTAGATAGTTTGAATGTGAAACATGATAAATACATTAGTTGAATACACTTAAATAGGAAACGAGACATTAACGAAATAACTAGAAGGAAAATGACTAACAAGACAACCAATCAATACAAATTTGGAAAGTCCCACTTCAGATTAGGTTATGAAGCATACATTACGGTGATCAGGGGTGTTCATGGTTCGGTTTGTATCGGTTTTTCCCTAAAAAAAAAACCAAACCAAGTAAGTCGGTTTTTCAAATATTGAAACCAAACCAAATCAATTAAGTCGGTTTTTTATCGATTCCATTTTTGTCGGTTTTGGTCGGTTTTTCGGTTATTTATCAGTTTTTTTCTTAAATATAAGACATACACTACCAAACACATATTACGGAGATTACATTTTTAACGTAACATTATCAAACCAATTACTCTTTGAGAAATCTATCATTTACCAAGATATATTGATGATAATTGAATCAATTAGTAATGAATGATTTAAGTACTCAATTAAAAATCGATTACTTTTAACATGAAATAAATTCTTGTATTTAGCAAAAGAAAACTATCAATCAAACTAGAATGTAAAGGTAAAAAATTAGATTATTATAATAGCAAAAAACTAGACTAAAAATATAAACAACTAATATGTACCATAAANTCCAAACCAAACTTAAAAAGTATCAGATTTTTTGGTCGGTTTGGTTCGATTTTCGATTTGGTTCGATTTTTCAAGTTTTTATGAATACCCCTAGTGGTGACAAGTGTGCACAATATTCCTAGATTCTAAACTTAGGTAGCATGGTTAATTATTGTTAATTAAAGATGGTGATTTTATTTATTTTCCTCATAGTACAATTATAACATAGGACGATGTGACTCATATTTCCTTTTAGATAATATCTTCTCTAAGGATTGCCTAATGTTACGACCCGAAATTTCATTCGTCGTGATGACGTCTATCTCAATACTAGGCAAGCCGACAATATCAATAACCCACAATTTCTTTTAAATACGCAAAATATAATAATTAAGTTTAAGAGAAAATTCCATAAATACTGGATATAAATACACTCCCAAAATCTGGTGTCACTGAATACATGAGCATCTATACATTACAAGTCTGGACAACACGGTCTATAATAGTCTGAGACCAAATACAGTAAACAAGGAGATAGGGAAGGAGAGACAAAGTCTGCGAAATACGGCAGCTACTTCTGAATCTCTGAAAAATCAACTGTGCGAAAGAATCAACATCCATTGTGTCCGAGTTCACCTGGATCTGCACACGAAGTGCAGGGTGTAGTATGAGTACAACCAACTCAGTAAGTGTCACGACCCAATTTCACTTGTAGGTCGTGATGGCGCCCAACACTACAGTTAGGCAAGCCAACTAATAAATAAATTAAGCATACATTGATAAAATTTAAAACCAAGAAAATATAAACCCAAACTCTACCAATATTGCTAAACTATGGCAGTGTTGGGGAACTATGAGAAGATATCAGGTTAGATGATCAACAAAGATAAGAGTTCATACTACATGTATTCAAAGGTTGCTAATGGATTGTTTCAGGCAGTTGGAGCTATTACAGGATTTGCAAGATAAGAGTTCATACTACATGTATTCAAAGGTTGCTAATGGATTGTTTCAGGCAGTTGGAGCTATTACAGGATTTGCAAGAGGTAAATTCCCCTTCACATATCTAGGGTGTCCTATTTTTTATACT